CTCGCTGTAACTTGCAATTTGTAATCACAAGCTTACTGAGTTATGAAACATAGTGCATCAGTTCAGAACATTACTTACGTAGCCTGTAATATGAGCCTTAAAAATGCCAAGCACCTGAAAAAATAGTGATCACATATGAAAAGGCACATCTTTGGAATTATTATATAATGAAATAATCAGGGTGGAGTGCTAGTAGGATCTCTTTTGGGGGTTAAGTTATTCAAATTATGGAAAAAACATTTTTAGGCGTTTACTGTGTAAATTATACACAGCTTATGTTACTGAACATTTAATTCCCATAAGTCTGCAATCAGAGTATTGCACATCCCCCTGGAATGCAAAGAGTTAAAATAAATTATTTATCTTTTTATAGGTTTGCGTCTCCTTAAATTCAAGCCCATTTTTGAAGGAAGGAGATATCATTTGAGTTATAGTAAAATTTAAAAGATGACACATGCAGACTTGCGGCTACTCACAATGATGAATTTAAACTCAAATGACTGAATTCCATACTTACATAATAAAAATGTATGTGTTGGGTATGTTATGTAAATCTACCCAATATGAATATACTCTAATTATTGTTCCTTCCTCATTCTATCCAGCCGTTTATAACCCTTTAAACATTAACCTGGTTGGGTGTCTTCTGAGGCCAACCAGACCCCTAGTATATAGACCTCAGAATTATGGGTAGGACAAGCTAAATTATTGTATTTATACGGAGCTTCATAACAAATGGTCACAGCTGTTGTGAGCAATGTATATGTATTGATCACAGACTGTTCTTTTTAGAAGATTGATTTTTATAAGATTGCTTACACTACATCTTTGTGGCAATGCATGTTCCTTTTCAAACGTCCATGAGTTTATATCCGTATAATAAAGTTAGTTAAGACTATGATTCTTTCACTGTAATAACTCATCTAATTATTTGGATTTAAAAGAAATGTCTATCATTTTTCTTTTCTAACTTGTCATTATTTGCTGATGTTTACTCTTTTCTTTACAGAATGCTTCCAGCCAATCCCGGGACCAGGTTTCAGAATTCACACCACTAGCTGCTCTGCAGAGCCCAAGTTACCAAAGCAATGACTTCAACAGTGATGCAACTACCAGGTCTAATTCTCTTTCTAAAAAAGTGATGCTTACTCACTGGCAAAGAAATGATTATTTTAAACTCCCATCCCTCTTTGGCCATTCCAACTCCCGCTATAGTTCCAACACTGGCACATACCTCAGTAGATCAGGGTTGGAAACATCTGTATGATCACCACAGCAAGCCTTCAAGAACTTGATTCTGCTTTATTTTTTATTATTCTTTTTAATGATTTTGAAGATGCAGCAAAATGAATGTTTAGTAGAACTTTCTTATACCTATTGAAATGCTAATAGCTAATACTTCCAGATAAAAGAAGAACTCACTCCTCTAGGCCTTGCGGTTAAAGTGTATGGTTTTTTTTTTGTACGCACATCATCAAGGAACAATTGTCACAGTCTGGTACTGTGTGCCTGATAGCACTATACATTTTTTATTTTATGCCCAAAATTACATATGTTATGTTTTAGTCATGTATGCTACAAAAATCTCTCTATGACTACTGTGTATGTTTAATTTAACGGGTTAATATTGGGTAGCTTTCACTGACTCTGGTCTCATTTTTTGTTTTCCCTGTCTTTTTGTTTGTCCACTTAGACCAAGCTGGTGTTGCCTATGTACTCATTTTGTTTCAAGAAATACTCTGTAACAGTCATTTCATTGTAAGTTGCCAAATGAGTTTATTTTACATGTGTGTCTCATCCCACACAGTAGCAATAGATCACTAGATGTGTTGTTTGTTTACGTTGTGTGGCTTAAGCTGTCTATGGTAGGTCATATAATATATATATATATATATATATATATATATATATATATATATATTATATATATATATATTCTAGCAGTGTCATAGCATACAGTCCTACTAGTATCTGTAGGCACCTAATCAAAACGCTGCTTGTTAAATATAGGTCTCAATGTCTGCCTTTATGATCACAAACTCTTGCCTCTTATTGTTTCACGGTAGGTCAAGTGTGTATGTTTTCTGCGAAAAAATGTGCATATTTATGTATTTACATCGGCGCGATTATTTTTTGGTAGAAGGTGGTTGCTCATGTAAGCTTGTTCAACTAGATGAGTTTTTTGATGGAATGACTGATACATGTAATAAAAATGTACAAATCTTACAACCGTAGATGAATTAAAATTAACCACTCACCTTCTGTGGAAGTCTGGATTTACGAAGTTTCTATAGCGGATATGTGATTGTGCAAGATCCCTTGTCTTTACATTGTGTTGCCCAAAAGTAGTAAATGTATTAATTAGTTGATACCTTTCGTGTTCTGGTCACTCTTGGAACAAAGTTTACAGCATAAGGAAACAATTATTTTTTTAGATAAGAAAACATCTATTGATCATTGGAAAGAAAACATGCTTGTTGCTACAATGTTAAGATAAAACATTATAATAAGTTTGCTATGGCAGGAGTGTTTATCATTGAAAACTAGTCGTTTCTAACTCAACAGGTTCAGAGATCCACTTTCCATACCAATACATTAGGCATTTCTTAACACAATATAGGGGTGCACTGTAGTAAAAGTAATAATGAGAATGCTTATCTCAAAGTTTCTTAATTTCTTAAATTTACCCCAAATGAAGATAAATGTATAATTAAACCCATGCATGGGGTATATCTACTATTTGTTTTTTTTTTAAATCACAAAATGTTTCCATTGTAGTGTTCCTTTAATCATTTCACACAACTCAGCTGAACTTGAAATGTCCGGGATCCTTCCAGTGCATTTTGCTCTGATATCAACACATACCAGGTACAGAGTTGCCATGCCAAGTTTAACTTCTGAGTTGGGCATTTGATATATTACGGATTATTCTCAAATGGAACTAAAATGAACAACTTTCATATCAGCTAACTTGGGGTTTATGAAACAAACTAATCCTAAACACTTAGTGCGCTATTTGTGATATTTCTTATAGTAAAAAGCAACTGTGAGTCATAATGACTGAATTAAGTAAACTCATCCTGTCTCATTCAGTTAGCAGAATATCAAATAACAGATGATCTTTGGGAAGATAAAGAGCTTAATTTTTAAGAGCTGGCGAATAAACTCCACATAACAATTTGGGTGGTTTCATCTAAGTACAATCTCTATCCTGTCAAAGCTTAGTAACTCATATGCTTCTTATCTGTTAATGAGCCTCCCATATGAAATTATGTAAATCTGCAAAAAGGCACTCTAGGGCTCCTCTAGGGATTTTAGCGCTGTTGGACTCAGCAGCCAAGAGCTCTATAGTTTCTCTGTCTCATACCAGTAACTAGGTAAACCGTCTTATTAAATTTCCCACAATAACTTTATGACATTTTTCAAAGGCTGTGTTCAATATGCTGAAATGTATGACCAAGAGAAATAGAAATACAGCTATAGCAACAATAATTGTCAGAGAATCCCACAACACCCAGCCTGCAATTAAGTAAATCACACACAAAACATATGTTGCATAAAAAGGAATATTAAGTTCAAATATAACAATTATATAAGATGTTTCCTTGAAAGAAATAGCAACATATTAATGAGGCTGTGTAATTGCATGGTGTAACGGAGCTCTGAAACTCCAAGCAAGTATCTCCACTGAAGTCCTCTCAGGTTGGAAGAAATGCTGCTGTAAGGATTATAGTCCATCTCCCCAAGCACTAGACGACACTTAGTGAAGGGGAGAACAACACATTTTATTAAAACCAGCACATCTATTTATACCCCCACAGTCTCATTTACTTAAAATAGGGTTACAATAGTACCCAATGACAGTAGGGACTTGGGATAGTAACCAATTACAGTGCATATCCCAAGAAAACCAATAAAAGTATGGACTTGGAATAGCAATCAGTCACACTTCAAAGCTTACAACCTGTGTGAATTGAGCCCTGTAATTACCAGCAAAGGTGGGGAAAGACAACAACAAGGGCTGTGGACCCCATAATAGATTTAAAGGAGTGGCAGGGAAGCCAATTTGCAGTGGTCTGGAAGTGTCCCTGGAACCATGAGGCAACTACCTGCTGGGAAACCCATAATTCATGAGAAGAGGGAAGAAAATAACTTAACAAACATACATTATACTCACCGTGCACCTATGCTGGGCACAGGGTGACCAAAAAACAAGAGCAATCTGGGGACCTACATAAAGAGGCCATCTTCCATCCCCAGTGATGGTGACATCACATATGGTATAGATTGAGCCTCGGTTTTCTGTCAAATGTATTTCCTGTAGTATTTATATTTCACTGCTCAAAGTTGGGCAGACTTATTACAATCAGTGTGGCTGTACTGGGAAGTCCTTGACTGTTGTGTGTGGCAGTCCTCTAGTACCAACAGAGAGAATGAGGCTTAGATGATATCCTAGCAGTTATTGAAACCTAATGAGTGGCGTAAATAGCAAAAAAAGGAAATCCTACTGTCTCTTGTGTAAGTGAAGTCAGGGTTTGTATAGATTGGTCTTCATAAATGTGTAAATAGCTCCATCACTGAGGCACTATAGTTATACAATTACGTACTAAAACATGGGCTGACTGGCAACTTTTGACACAGGGTGCAAGTACAACCAAGAGACTTGTGGTGCAGCAAATTCCCTCCTCCCTTCCCTCCATTTAAATAACAAACAAAAAAAATATCAGGGGAAGGAAATTAATCATATTTGAATACTGAATAAATAAGGATTCCTTCCTATATCAAGTAACTTGCCTAGACAGCACTATTATTTATTCACCAGCTATGGAAGACATGGTCTAAGAGGGTTTTCTCTTTTCTACAATTAAATTCCCCCTCATATAGAGAGAGTCATGGTGCAAGAATGGTCAAACTAACGCAAGGTATGGTCAAAAGGTAGATCCTCAACTGCACATATGTATATAGCATTTATCGCTATATAAAAAAAAAATGAAAAATTTATTTTCTCACCCCTCCTGGGTGGTATGTTTATTCCTCCTTCTTGGGTCCTCTACCAGAGGCCTGGGAGTTTGAGGGTTCTTTGCAGAATCTTAGCTGTTCCTAGAACTGCACTCTTCTAGACAGCAATCTCAGATGTCCCACCTGGAATCTGTTGAAGCTACTCCCCCAACTTGGGAGTCACAGCTCCGAGTGCTCCTATCACAACTGGAACTACTACTGCCTTCACTTTCCACATCCTTTCTAGTTCTTCTTTCAGTCCTTGGTATTTGTCCACCTTCTCATGTTCCTTCTTCTTGATGTTATAGTCACTGGGTATTGCTACATCCACCACGACTGCAGTCTTCCATTCCTTGTCTACCACCACGATGTCTGGTTGGTTGGCCAGCACTTGTTTTTCTGTCTGGATCTTGAAGTCCCACAGGATCTTAGCCCTGTCATTCTTAACTACCCTTTGTGGTATTTCCCATCTGGACTTAGGCAGGTCCAATCCATATTCTGTACAGATGTTTCGGTACACAATCCCAGCAACTTGGTTGTGTCTCTCCATGTATGCTGTTCCTGCTAACATCTTGCATCCAGCTACTAGGTACTGGACTGTCCCAGAAGCCACTTTGCACAGTCTGCACCTTGGATCTTGCCTGGTGTGGTAATTGAATTATCAATCAATCAATCAAAATATATATATATATATATGGACCCGGGGGCCACTGATTGCATTATGAATAGTGAAACTGAGCCCAGCACACACACTCTTCAATTTCCAGCAGCTTCTTTCTCCAACTCTCGCAAGTCCTCGGCCTTCAGAGCATTGCCGCGGGTTACTATGCAATGGTAAAGAGAGTTGGAGAGAGGAGCTGCTGGAAACTGATCATCTGTTTGCTATATTGGCAGCCTGCACAATGCAACTAGTCCACTAGGTAGGTGGGGATGGGGGAATAAAAATTATTTTTTTTCAAATTTAAAATAAAATTAAAAAAAAGCTTTTTGCCCACATAAGCTACATATTTACACACACACACACACTGCATCCACTATAAACGCATTGCATCCACTCTACACCCACAGCATTCTTATGGGTGGACTCACAGTGGTCCCTGTGGGCGGACTTGGGGGGGGGGGCGGGCCACAGAGCCACACAATTTCTGATGGTTGTCTTTCCACAATGCTTTGCTAGCTGGGGATCTACAATTTACTAATTCTTGCAGGATTCTACTTGTGAGAAGTGTCTGTGTGTTTGTATGTAAGAATGTTTTTGTATGGAGTATGTGTGTATGAATGAAGGGGCTGTGTAGTGTTGGCTTTCAAATGGAGAGGTATGTTTGTATGTACTGTTGCCAGTAGAATGCAGTGGTGTACTTGTGTGTACTATTGGTGTTTCAATGCAGTTCTGTGCTTGCGTGTAGACTGTGTGTGTGTTTAAATTAAGGGATATGTTGTTAGTAATTGTTTGAGCCACAGGGGTGTGTTTGTATGTGGTATTGGTGTTTGAATGAAGGGCATATTTGTGTACAGTGGTGGTGTTTGAATGTAGCGTGTGTTTATGTGCAGTGTTAGAATTTGTATGCTGGGATGTATTCACTGCCACACACATACACAAACTGACACAGGTATGCATACACATAGTTACACATATCCATTAACACACACAAGCAAGTATCTATTCACATATTTTAGCAACCCTCCTGCTTAATTATCTTTTGGGTTCAGGAGGGTGACTTCCCTGGGGTCCAGTGGGAGGTGGGTGGCCAAGACTGATGGGAATCTGCAGCAAGTCTGCCTCTCACTCCATCTTCTGTGCGTTTCAGTTCCACCCTACCTGCATGGCTCACACTGCAGGCTGAAGGGAAAAGACCAGAACTTACTTTCACCCAGCAAGCTGTGGGGGAGTATTAATGTGACAGGCGCCTTATCCGGTGCACTTTTAAAGGTCCGTGGGGCTCAATCAAACAGTCCTTCCACTTAGTCACCCAAAGGGCCTTCACCACTGCCCTCACAGTTGCACAGCCACCACCAAATCGCGCACATGGTACTTCTTTACCCCTTCCTCCTAGATGATAAGTTTGTTTAACTTCTTCACTAGTTATGGATGGCAATTCATCTTAATTTGGGTCAATCGAGTGATCGGTCAAATTCTTGAACTCTGAGCTGAAATGTAACAAAATGAAAGAAAGAGGTGATTGATAGGAAAAAATATGATTGATTGGCTAGGGGACAGTCATTAACTGTTGATTATATTCCATAGAGCACCGTCAAATTCCGCAGCGCTTTACAATGGGTGGACGAACAGACATGTAGTTGTAACCAGACAAGTTGGACACACAGGAACAGAGGGGTTGAGGGCCCTGCTCAATGAGCTTACATGCTAGAGGGAGTGGGGTAAAATGACACAAAAAGGTAAGGATAGTATTAGACTAGTGACAGTTGCAGAAGAGGAATCAGTCAGGAGCTATTAACAGTTTAATTGATACGCTTTTATGAAGAAGTGGGTTTTTAACGATTTTTTGAAGGAGTGGAGACTGGGTGAGCATCTAACAGAGGAGGGAAGCGAGTTCCACAGGAACGGTGCAGCCCTCGAGAAATCTTGAAGGCGAGCATCAGAGGTGGGAGTACGGACAGAAGATAGACGTAAGTCTTCAGCAGATCGTAAGGGCCTAGACGGGACATACTTGTGTATAAGGGATGATAGATAGGTGGGAGCAGCATTATGTAGAGATTTGAAAGCAAGAAGCCGAATTTTAAATTGAGCTCTATATTTTATAGGAAGCCAATGTAGGGACTGACAGAAGGGTGAGGCATGGGAGGTGCGGGTGGACAGGAAGATGAGCCTTGCCGCTGCATTCATTATGGACTGTAACGGCGCAAGTTGGGAGCACGTAAGACCACTGAGAAGCAGATTACAGTAGTCAAGGTGAGAAAGGATAGTGGAATGAACCAATACCCTAGTCGCATCTGGCGTTAAGTAGGGGCGGATGCACGCAATATTTTTGAGATGGAAATGACCAGATTTGGCGATAGCTTGAACATTAGGCTTGAAGGAGAGGTCTGAGTCAAAGAGCACACCTAGGCAGCGAGCCTGCGTGGTGGAGCTGATGGTAGCACCGTTGACTTGAAGGGAGATAGACACAGGAGTAACAACACTTGAGGGAGGAAAAACCAGAATTTCAGTTTTGGTCAAGTTTAGTTTAAGGAAGTGGGCAGCCATCCAGTTAGAAACAGCTGAGAGGCAGTCAGAGACAATAGTCAACAGGGACGGGGAGAGATCAGGAGAGGACAGGTAGATTTGCATGTCATCTGCATAGAAATGATATTGGAAGCCAAAGGAGCTAATGAGTTTACCAAGGGAGGCAGTATAGATGGAAAACCGTAGAGGACCAAGGACTGAACCTTGGGGGAAACCAACAGAGAGGAGTTGGGGAGAAGAATCAGAGCCAGAGAAAGAAACACTGAAAGAGCGCTGGGAGAGGTAGGAGGAGCACCAGGAGAGAGCAATATCTTGTAGACCGATATTGCGGAGGATGAGAAGAAGCTGTTAATGATCAACGGTGTCAAAAGCCGCAGACAGGTCAAGGAGAATTAGGATAGAGTAGCAACCACGAGATTTTGCAGCGAGTAGATCATTGGATACTTTGGTCAGTGCTGTTTCCACAGAGTGCTTAGCGCGGAAACCAGACTGAAGTGGGTCTAGCAGAGAGTTGGACTCGAGGAAGTCTGTCAGTCTCGCATACACCATTTTTTCAAGGATTTTGGATGCAAAAGGCAGTAGCGAGATAGGACGATACTTGGATGGGGAGTTAGGGTCAAGATTGGGCTTCTTTAGAATTGGGGTTACAGTTGCATGTTTGAAGGGCAATGGAAATATACCAGAGGAGAGAGAAAGATTGAGAATTTTAGTGAGAGGTGGAGAAAAAGAAGAAGACAGAGTACGGATGAGATGCGAGGGAATTGGATCTAGGGAGCATGTGGTGGGGCGGGAGGACTGGAGCAGAGCAGAATATTTGATGCTTCAATAAACAAGCACGATTTAATAATATTATTGAGTCCTGTGAGTGTACTTCAACAAGGTTTCATATATTCTAAAGCTCGGACTTGGCACCCAGGTGTTTACAGGACCGGGAGCAGTGAGTGTGGGACACGTGGAAAATTATATATATATATATATATATATATATATATATATATAGCGAGAGAGAGAGAGTGATACTTGTCTGCAGGTAGCACAGTCCTCTAGGGTAAACAGGCACAGTCCTTTTATTTTCATATAATCCAGGCACTTTATTTGTAAGTCCGCACAGGAGACAGCAGCAAATTAAAACATAAATATAACACAAATCCCTATAAACAAAAACCTAGCTCGTCTAAGCACTTATAAACTTCAGGTTCCCTATCTCTCAGGGGTTAAACTAGAACAAAACAATATTGGTTTCACCAACCTAGTATCTTTGTCAGCTCTCTGCACTCCAGTGCTCCAAGTCAGCCTTAACTGCTTTCCTTCTGCACGCCCAGTGCTCAATCTCCTTGACTCTCTCACTGGAGAGAACAGCCTCTCTCCCACCTGCTTCCAGGGAGGAAGCCAGCAATCTCCTTTTACCTGCCTAGCAGGGAGGGGTTTATTCCCACTGCTACAGCTGATTATCTGCAGCTGAGCAGTGGGTTGGAGACAGTTCCAAAAAACTCTGGCCTGGACCTTATTTCTACCAGTTGTGTATAAACTGATGAGTGGAGCATTGGCCCACCCTGCTCTCCAAACGCTCCACCCCAGGGGCCCATAACTAAGCTTTGGTTTGTGTTGCCTACAACACATACTACACATACTCCCCCTGGGGTTAAATGTTATAGGCCTCTCTGCCTTCACTTTATCACAATATATAAAATTAAAGTAATATTATATATTCTTAATTATGGGCTTATCAAACCTCATGAAAACAAACAAAAAACACATAACACATATATCTTTGCACTGTTAAGAAACACTTGCTGGAAAACACTAGGGAGTAGGTCTATCAACTTGCATCAAAATGAAACAATACTGTTCAATGCTGAAAATAAATGGCAGGCAACATCCACAGCCGTTAGTCAATAAACACCATGTTTGGGCCACGATAAAGAGTTCATCTCCATATCAATTTCTGAGTGACCTCCTGCTCTCTCTGGACTTTGCGGGGAACAATGGTTCATCACTTGTCGTGCAAGTCGAGAGTAATAGTACTGTGACTGCACAGATCTTCCAGCCCAGGTTGAAATGGGAGTCACTTCCCTGTGTCCATTGGTCTCCCTGCTACATGCCCTCGGGAGCTCTGAGTCCCGGCATCCCCTCTGGGTATATGGACTATGGGTTGGATATGTTTCTACTCGGACCCCCTGCCCAGTTAAAAAAAGCGCAGCTGCATGGATCCGGGGTTTGCTTGAGAGATGGGGCATTTAGGTTGGCTATGACTGCGCTGGAGACCTATCACAGCGGCCATTTTATGTACACTGCAGGAACTCTGAGGTTGGCTGGCACTGTGAACCATTTTGGCATGCTTCTGTTGGCGTTGGGCCAGTTTTCTCCAAAAATCCTCGAAGATTGCATCCAGCTTAGTGCTGAAGTCAGTTTGTGCATTGAGGTTGGCAGCAGGACTCACTGTGCTCCCCTGGGACTGCAAGGGTGGTGCTGTGGCAGCCATTAGAGACTCTTCGTGGCTGCGGGAGATCATGCTGTGGTAATGAGGTAAGTGTCCCCAGCAGGGACTGGGATAACCCCCACCGGTCCATGGGAGGGGAGGGCAGCGGGACTGCTTTGGGTGGTCTGTTATGAGTGTGTCCCCTTTCGGAGGATTGGCCACTTCCCCCAGACACCAGGTTCTGCCCAGAGCTAGGCTGCATGATTGAACAGATTGGTCTTGTGGCGTAACCGCTTAAGATGGGTATCACCGTGGTCACTATGATTTCTGCTCGGTCCTCCAGTCACCCAGAGCTGCACTCAGTACTGGTTCAGTCAGAAAAGGCTTGTTTTTGCTCATAGGTGCCGGCTCTTAGAAAGCACAGCCGGCCACCTTGGCTGTCAGGCCCCACCCCCCGATAATCTATTTTTTTTTTTATTGCTATTTGCTTACCCTACAAATTCAAAAGCATTATCAAATTGGTTAACTTGCCAGTCACCAAAAAGTACTACTGAGTGCGCTTATAATTCACCTAAATGTGAATCTTGCCTAGTATTTTTATTTAGTTTTACACATCTGTCCAATACAAAGTTTAACCCCTTAACGCTGTTACGGCGTTCTATGCCATCGGGCTTTAAAGACGTTGCGGCGGCATAGAACGCCGTAACGGCTTAAGCCCAGGGGAGGTAAGATTTACATACCTCCGCCACGATCCTCTTCTGGAGGGCTGCCTGACAGCCCAGGCAGCCCTCCCCCGGCAAATGAGACCCCGGGGGCCATGTGATCGCTCTTAAAGAGCGATCACATGGCCCCCTATAGCTGGCTGTGGATCTGCCAGCAGGGGGACTGTCTAAAATGTCAGACAGTCCCCCTGCTGTGGGAAATGAAAAAAAAAAAAATTAAACATGTTTAAAATTAAATTAAAAGTATTTTTATATATACATATTATATATATATGTAACGTCATCCAAAGTGTATTTTAATACTAATATTAGTATATATATTAATATTAAAATACACTTAGAATGACGTTACATATATATAATATAGATATATACACATATATTATATATATATATACGTATAATTACAATAATAAATAAATATAATAAAATAAATAAATAAAATATTGAAACAAAATTTTATATAAATTATATATTCATATGTAATTTCATTCTAACTGTATTTTGTTAGTAATATATATATATATTGGTAACAAAATACACTTAGAATGACATTCTATATATATCTATGTATAAAATACAAATAACCGCAAATATATATATATAGATAAATACATATAATTACATAAAAGATTACATTAGTATACACGTAGAATTTAAATACCTATAAATTCATATATATTAAAATTCTACGTGTATATTTAAGTAATCTTTTAACATAATTATGTGATTTGATTAATTAAAATTTGATTGACATGCCTGACAACACAGGGAGAAAGTGCAGAGAATTTAATTCGCAAGCACTATATTTGACCCTGTAACTCTCCAAGATACCATAAAACCTGTACATAGGGAGTACTGTTTTACTCGGGAGACTTCGCTGAACTCAAATATTAGTATTTAATCTGGTAAATTGTATTACAACGATGATATTTTAAGTAAAAGTGAAGTTTTTTGCATTTTTTGCAAACAAACTGCACTTTTATGGACTATATTATTGTTGTAATATGTTTTACTGTTTTAAAACACTAATATTTGTGTTTAGTGAAGTCTCCCGAGAATAACAGTACCCCCCATGTACAGGTTTTATGGTGTTTTGGAAAATTAGAGAGTCACAAAAAAGGCTTGCATTTAATTTTTTTTACATTGAAATTTGCCAGATTGGTTACGGTGCCTTTGAGAGCGTATGGTAGCCCAGGAATGAGAATTACCTCATGTACAGGTTTTATGGTGTTTTCAAAAGTTACAGCGTCAAATATAAGGCTTGTGTTTCATTTTTTTCACATTAAAATTCGCCAGATTGGTTACGGTGCCTTTGAGACCCTATGGTAGCCCGAGAATGAAAATTACCCCTATGATGGCATACCATTTGCTAAAGTAGACAACCCAAGGTATTGCAAGTGGGGTATGTCCAGGCTTTTTTAGTAGCCACTTAGTCACAAACACTGGCCAAAATTGGCGTTTTTTTGCATTTTTCACACAAACAAATACTAACGCTAACTTTGGCCAGTGTTTGTGACCAAATGGCTACTAAAAAAGACTGGACATACTCCATTTACAATACCTTGGGTTGTCTACTATTGCAAATGGTATGCCATTATGGGTGTAAATTTCATTCCTGGCTACTATAAAGTCCCAAAGGCAACCAATCTGGTAACCAGGTAACCAATCTGGCGAATTTCAATTTCAAATGTAACGTGCTATATTTGACCCTGTAACTTCCCAAAACGCCATAAAACCTGTACATAGGGGGTACTGTTTTACACGTGAGACTTTGCTGAATATTGAATACAAATATGTGTATTTTATTGCAGTAAAAGCAAACAGTATTATAACATTGACAGTTAAAATGTCATGTAGAACGAAAAAAAATTAAAACATTCTTATTTTCTCCAATTTTTTTTCATATTAAATTATGTTTCATAGCTAAATATTTTATATTAAATTAAAGCAATGTTTCCCCTGAATAAAATGATATATGATAAGGGTGGGTGCATTTAATATGAAAGAGGTGAATTACGGTTGGACAGACATGTAGCGCAAATGCCAGGTTTTGTTTACATTTTGTTTCGTTCACAACGTGTACATTTAGCTCAGTCCTTAAGGGGTTAAAGATATCACCCCTTCCTCTCCTTTAATCTGTTTAAATAATAATCATGGGTATTGTTTAGGGATTATGGTGTGGAGTTAGTAAACTTTCTGACTTATTGAATGCTGTTCCAAATGATTTATCTAAAGAGGTCACCATTAAATTGACACTAAAGGCACCCAGACCACTTCATCTCAATGAAGTGATCTGGGTGCACTGGTACTATAGTTTCAATGTAAAGCATTGCTGTTTTGTTAGATACAGCAATCCTTATATTACACAGTAAAATGCGCTTCTAGTATTCTTTATTACAGCCACCAGAGGAGCATCCACTTTGAGAACCAAGTCAATCTTGGTTCTCGCAACTTACCTTCAGTAGGGGTGCTGTACTTTAGGGAGAGAAGCTGAATCTAAATAAAGAGGAGAACAATGTAGAGTTAGAAATATAGGTTTGTATTCCTAACACTATAGTGTTCCTTTAATGCAGTGGTTTCCAAACTTTCTATCACAAATTCTCAATTTATGTTATGCATAACCCATATGATGCTTCTTATGGGACTAGAGACCACTTTCATACAGTTCATTTCTGTTATTAAAGTGAAATTATCACCTCTACTGCAAAATAACTGGAATTTCACTGAAATTCCATCCCAGTCAAAAGATAGGGACTACTTTTGTCTCAGTAATTTCCTACATGCAAGAGTGCCCCAACTGAAGCACCAGGAGCAGAAGAGGACTGTCCGGTAGATGTTGGTGGCATCCACAAGGGAAAGGTTCAGGTAAATGTAACTCACCTTTGCCTTCCCCTCTCCTTGGCCACCAGACCCCCAGTGGAGATGTCAATGATAGGGTTTTTTTCAAAATATGCAAAGTCCACAGTTGGTGAAAGTGCAGTTTTAATGGTAATTTAAAGAAATAATTTTGTGCTAGGAAGAGCAAATCAATTTAAAAAAAAAATGATATTGGGGTGCTTTGCTTTACTTAGATGTTATGCTATAAGGTAGAAGTGACTTGAGCCGTATGATTTTTGACAATTCGTTTGTAAGACTCTGAGAATAGAGAATACTCTGGATACAGTCAGATTTAAAATTAAAGTCAGTTGCCCAAACATACACTAATGTGACTGAATTGCTCACCGGACTTCTGAATCCATGTACGTTCCGCAGATATAAAATTAATATAAATAACATACACAGTAAGTGTCTGGAAATCATAAAGTAAATTAATGGAACAGGTAAATATTCATGTTATTAGAAAAAACAACAACAATATATATCATAATATGTATATATCCTTATAAATTGTTGAAACAAAGAATGAAAAACGGCGTTAAGGTCAATGAGTGTTACCTAAACACTGATTTTAGGACACTTATGAAAGTGGAGTAGTTATAATGGAAATCTGTGGAATGGTGATTCACAAAATGCATACAAAATCCAGCAAGCATTCAAAGATTGATATACTTCCTGGTATTAGTTGTCCATTATTTGTTGGTACTGTGTTTCTCCACATTTACATCATCTTTATGAGTTACTTCAGTATCTGAAAGAAATAAGTACTCCGTAAAATTATGCTATTAGTGGGGTTAGTTAAACTGTTTAAAATAATGTCAGTGTAATAGATATTTTATGTTTGCAATCCATTATTATTTCTCCATAATGTGTTCTATTTCCACCATGGAGGAAGTAGATGACAATGAGATCTTAAGAAAAAGGAGAGCTGAGAAGGAAGGTAACTTTGGACATTGAGTTATTTGTACCATGTTTAAAAACTAAATCTCTTTAATCCCCTCATTAGCAACATTTGTACACATGGCTATGGCTTCATTTTGAATGAACGACTGTAAATGATGTCAACTCCCTGCTGTCCATCACCTCGTGCTTACATCGCCCGAGTTCTGCATGTTTCCTGAACAACAACTGCAAGGAAGAAAATTATTTTGGAATAACTCAGGATACATATCTAAGTATGCTTGTGACCTGCAATACAACCTGCAATTTTCATTGAACTAAGAATGCCTGTTTTTTGCCAGGCAACAGTATTTACTGTGATTTTCATTTTTACATCCAGTTGGTATGTTGGGGAGTGTACATTCTAAAAACCCCAAATATGTGTTAGACATGCCTAAAGCTTTTCACCTTTTCTACCATATACAATGAAAAATATAATTAATTTTGTTTATTTTTTTATCAACCTCTTATTTTGGTATATGCACGACAAAAAAAAATGAGATGTCTTGGTAATTGATACAAGGTAATCGTGAATAGCCTATGAACATAATGATAAACCAAACAAAATGTTATAGTATAATGAGTGGTAATTGGGTGATACAAATAAGACATAGTATAGTATGGAGATAGAATAACACAAAACATTTAAATGGGTATGTGGCGCTCGTTTAATAATAATCAAGTGCAGCCTAAAACAACTTAAAGTGTAACGTCACCTTATACACTTAACAAAAATAGTAGAAAAACCAACGAAAAAGTGTTAAAGCACACACAATGATTAAAAATTATTTACATTTTAAAACTTAATGAGAAGGATCTTGTAACATACATTCAGATAAGAGGACCCTAAATAAAATAAATATAAAATGGAAAAACCATAGTTCAATCTGTGTATATATATATATATATATATATATATATATATATAACAGAAAATGGTTAAAATTGGCACACTCACAATCTCAAGAGCCCTTAAAGAATGTCTCTAAACCGTATAGTCACGTCATCCACCATTGGGATTATAGTAAAATCTTTTGCTGGAACAAGAAGGTATCCAGAAGAGACAGAAATCAGATGATCAATGTTAAAATCACTTTATTCCATGTACAGATAAAAGTAAGCTGAAACAGCAGCACAACACATTTCGACCTCTATACAGGTCTTCCTCAGGTTCAGTCTAAGGTAACGATGACCTCCTGGCTGTTTATATACCTTACAAACACAAAAAAAAAAAAAAACATACAGGTGTGTTACTTACTAATTAAACCTAATATGGTCCAAACTGGAAATGCATCGCTACACTCAAGATGGCAACGCATCCGGTTTCGACTGTGTTGCAATCACAAATGCCCTTCCAAGATGGTCGTCCGTAAATCACAATGATGTATCCAAATTGTATAGGAGGACTTCAGTAGCAATCAAGGTTGTGGGCGGAGTAAAGATCATCCTGTTTGTGTGTATAAAGAACACGCATATCGGCTCACAACTCCATATATGGCGGTTTTCAACGTTCCCATAAGGCATTGTGGTCCAGATTTCCCAGCCAGTTTGTAGCGCATTGAGTCCATGATAAGTTCATGTCATATTAAAATCAAAGAAAAGGGGGGGGGGGAAGATAAAAAGCAGGCATTAATGAGAGAAGAATTAAACTTAAACACAAAATAAACTTAAAATCTAAAAAAAATGTGATAAAAATAAAAACATGTGCAGGAAATGATAAGTAGCCAAAAAAACTTAGAGCAGCATGAATACAATGTTTTTATAAAATATAAATAATTGATTGAAAAATTGTAATAAAAAAGAAAATTACAATAATGATTTTAGTCTCATCTTTGATTATACAGAGATCAGAATATTAATGGAAATCCAGAAATATATGTTACTTTTATGGTGTGTTATGACATATTTTAAATATAATACCTTATAACATTAGGGAGTATTACCACATGTTTATCTTACTAGATGTGGAACATGCAAACACGTAAAAAGCATAAAAAACATTTATATTTACAGAACCTAAGCCCCTCACATATATGTAAAGTGTGTATATTTAGTAGCAAAGAGACTTCTTTGAATAAAAAGAAACACTTAGGGAATAAATGTCCCGTACAAGAAATCTATGAGGGCAATAAACATAGAAATCCATTGTGACCAAAAAATAGATTTCTTAAGAGGAATATCTAGTTGGAACTAATATCTTGTTGAGAAATTAACCTTCTATGTAAATAATATATTAGAGGAAGCACACTATATCTATGTCTGCGTTAAGACCACCTGGCTCTAAGGAGCCCAATTGATGGATCCAAAAAGTCTCTTCTTAATGCCTGCTTTTTATCTTCCCCTCCCTCTCCCCCCTTTTTCTTTGATATTTAATATGACATGGACTTATCATGGACTCAATGCACTACAATGCCTTATGGGAACTTTGAAAACCGCCATATTTGTAGTTGTGAGCCGATATGTGTGTTCTTTTTACACATGAATAGGATGAACTCCGCCCACAACCTTGATTGACACTGAAGACCTCCTATACAATTTGGATACATCATTGTGATTGACGGACGGCCATCTTGGAAGGGGCATTTGTGATTGCAACACAGTCAAAACCGGATTCATCGCCATCTTCTGTGTGGCGGCGTACTTCTGGCCCGGACTGCAGAGGATTCAAACAGCTATTATTATGTCTGTTTAATGTTTTTTTGTACTTTTATTGTATTAATAATGTTGCTTACCCATATTACTATAGTTTGTATTCATTTGAAGGATGTTCGGCCATCTTGGATGAGGCATTTTACACTGTAGTATGGTCGAAACCGGATGCGTCGCCATTTTGAGTGTGGCAATGTATTTCCGGTTCGGACCACATTAGGTTTAGTTAGTAAGTAACACACCTGTATGTATTTTTTTTTGTTGTGTTTGTAAGGTATATAAACAGCCAGGAGGTCATCGTTACCTTAGACTGCACCTGAGGAAGACCTGTATAGAGGTCGAAATGTGTTGTGTTGCTGCTTCAGCTTACTTTTATCTGTACATGGAATAAAGTGATTTTAACATTGGTCATCTGATTGATGTTGCTTCTGGATACCTTCTTGTTCCAGCAAAAGATTTTACTATAATCCCAATGGTGGATGAAGTCCCTATACAGTTTAGAGACATTCTTTAAGGGCTCTTGAAATTGTGAGTGTGCCAATTGTAACCATTTTCTGTTATATATATACAGATTGAACTATGGTTTTTCCGTTTTATATTTATTTTATTTAGGGTCCTCTTATCTGAATATATGTTACAAGACCCTTCTCATACATTTTTAAAAGGTAAGTAATTTTTAATCATTGTGTGCGCGTTAACACTTTTTGGTTGAGTTTTCTAGTATGTAGATAGAGTCAGACTGATGGTCTGGTGAGATGGGGCTTTGTACAGAGAAATGCCCTCACATATTAAAATAAAACAAAACAGAAAAAAAGGAAAAATGAAAAGTATGAAGAAAACAGTGCCCCTAAGTAACACATGTGATGATAAACAGCATAGTATTCACTGGTCTTATTCAAAGAAGAGGCAGAAACCTGCAAGGATGGAATAGGGCAATGAATATTTGTATTAAATATCATGCATTGTTTATAAAAATCTCTGTGTTCGAATGTTAATGTAACATTAGTGTTATTTCAATCCTAAACTGTGGCCAAGGTTGAAACAAGAAAATACAGGCTTCTGTTCATTTTTTTATTTATCCCAGAATAGCTATCGGTATACACAGTAGCAGTTTTCAGGTATCTCTGAACGTCAATGAATATAAATTGGTAATGAAGGGATTAAAACAATTACGCAATTGGAAGAATAAAAGAAGCAATCTAGAGACAGTTAACATAAACACATTTTGTCACACTCAAACCTGTGAAAAAGATACATCCACTATAATATCGTTTTTTTTTGTATGATGTACATGATTTCTGTGATATAGGTTTAATCGATTATGTATACGAAAACCAATATTTAAGGAAATTACTGTATAGCATTCCAGATAAAGATTGTATGTGCTTATCATTTAGCATGTATCTAGTGGATAAAGAACTGACCTTCAGGGGAAATTTTATTTGGACTTGTCTGCTGTAGTAATATGTAAAGAATTCTGTACAGATTATTTTCCATCTTACATTTTTTACATTTTATTTTTCTGAAAAGAATGTTAAATAAAGGGAAAGTGATACAAAAAAATAAAATTCAATTCAAATAATAGAATATGCAAACAAGAAACCAAACTGTGTTCAATAAAATGTTAAATATATAAATAATGATATGGTGTTTTGTTCATAATAGTGTGTGAAAACATAATTTGTTGTTCTGATGTTAGTGGGACTGCAGGTGCCTATTCTTCCAAAATATACAAGGGGGAGCAAAGAGGCAGGTGGATAAGGAGTGCTCAAATTCTTCCACTTCTTCACTGCTCCCTCGCGCCCTATGATGTCGGGAGCTGGCATTTGACTTCACTACGGCCCCAGCATCACTAAACAGCAGCGTAAGGGAACAGTGAGGAACTGGAAGGTTACAGGAGCCACTGGACCCTGAGGAGAAGAGCCACATCAACTCTCCCAAAGATAGGTAGACTGACTGGGCCTAAAAAACAAAACCACAAGAAATACAATTTGTGAGTGTGTTTGTACGAATGTCTAAATGTGCGAGTGTGTGTAAGAATATGTAAATGTGTGAGTGTTTAAGAATGTGTAAATGCCTGTCTGTCAGTGAGTGTGTCTATATGTGTTTCTGTATGAGTCAGTCTGTATCTGCTGGGTGTACAGACACTGAAACACACAAACGCCCAATGCACACACAAACAATAAACACAAGTACACCACTGCTTTCAAATAGCAGCAGTACATACAGAGGTGGCTCTCTAATTAGGCTGTTTAGGTGGCCGTCTAAGGCATCGCGCTGGATGGGGCCTTGCGACCGCCTAAACCATCTTGCTCAGAATGCCGCCGGGTGCGAGGCCCCTCCTCTCTGTCCACCCAGCCATCACAGACACTGGTCTGCAGCTCCACAGTGTGCAGAGATGCAGACCATGTGTCTCCCGTGAACTGGCCAGTCAGAGCGTTGACTCGAGTTACCATGGCAACACTCTGACGGTGCTCGCGAGATACATGGTCTGCAGAGCGGATATAATGGCCACTGGACCACCAGGGAGCCCACCGGACCACCAGGCAGCCCATACTGGACCACCAGGGAATAAAAAAAAGGCATTTAGTCCCCCTCCCTCACACCATCTACCCCCCTCTCACCATCACCCTCCCTCACACCATCACCCCCCTCCCTCTCACCATCACCCCCTCCCTCACACCATCACCATCTCCCTTCACCATCACCCCCACTCCCTCCCCCACTCTCATTACCCCCCCTCTGCCTCTCACCATCATCCCCTCTCCCTCCCTCTCACCCCCTCCCTCTCCCCATCACCCCACTCTCCCTCTCATTACCCCTATGGCTTCTCACCATCACCCCCTCCCTCTCACCATCACCCCACTCTCCCTCTCATTACCCCCTCCCTCTCACCATCACCCCCTCCCTCACATGCCTCCCTCACACCATCATCCCCCTCTCCCTCTCACCATCACCCTGGCATTACTGTATTATGGGGGTTCAGGTTATGGAGACATATTGATATCACCAGGACCAACTGAGGAAGCTATGCTTGTGGTGTTTTCACCTCAACAGAAACACCTATCTGCAGGCTGAGCAGCTTCACTTTGGCATCTATTGGGTTATTCGTGATGGCTGACATAACCACAGAGTAGAATACGGCTAAGCTGGTCTGAACTTGGACCATGAGCTGGATACAGGGGTTGAGCTAAAGATAGTGAAAATAAAGAATACAGTAACCATGTGATGGAAAGATGGTGACTGGTTGATTGCTCTCTGAATTGTAGTTTGATGAGTTAAGATTGTGACTTAATGGGAAGGTAGAATGCTTGAATAATTGTGAGTCGGTGAGTAAAATGACACTTCAGTCATAATATTTGCCACCAAAACAACTTAAGTGCATTTGATGGATTTTGCCCTTATATTTATGCTGTAGCTTTCTTCACATTCAAATCTTACTAGCTTTCCTAAATCCTATTTCCACACCCTTAGCCACAATAACAAAAAATATGGAATCTTTGTGCTCAAGTGAAAGGCAAAAGTGGATAATAAGCAAATTTGAAAAAATAATTTTATATTAAATATGTTAAATACCAAAATTGGCAGATAAGTAGCAAGCACATTACACACTTCTACATAAGGAGTTAGGGCCAACAGAACATATTCCACATAAAAAAAAAAAAGTGGATGCGTTTTGCATAATCCCTGGATGTTCCTATCAGCTATACTGTCAACAACCAACACCTTGTGAAAAAAAAAAAAACCACATCACCAGACCACCCTGCAGCCCACACTGGACCACCAAAAAAGTTATTTAGTCCCTCACCCTCTCCCCATCACCCCCTCCCTCACACCATCACCCCCTCCCTCCCACATCACCCCCGTCCCTCTCGACATCACCCTGTCCCTCTCACCATCACCCTGTCCCTCTCACCATCACCCCCATCCCTCTCACCATCACCCCTTTGTTTAATAAATGCAGAGGGGTTAATTCTATGTATGCCAAATGATGAAAACTCTAACAACAACAAGGGAGTAGCCTAGAATAAACTATTTTCTTAAAGGATATTTGAGGTTGATTCCATATCTCATAGCTCCGTAAAATCCCCTCTATTCATTAAAAGCCATCAGAATAACCTATCTTTGAAGCCTGGTGATGCCAGAATATCTTGTGGCTTTAAGCTTGGCTAGTTTTCTTGTGATTCTGAATTCCATTGTCCTGGAAATAGGGTGGTTTCCTGATGTTGCTTTCCCATGGTTCCTTGATTATAGACAGTTAATTTCCTTTTTTTATGTTTTATTGCAATCTTTATTTTCAGAGTCATTTTCAATGGTACAATAGTACACAGAGTAAAGAGATTAAGTCGAGTAAGGACAGTCGCAATACGCAGGTTATGCAGGGTAACACTAAAAAACAATTCCCACAACAGTGCACAGTGTAAAATAAAAAAGATATTTCATGCATGTTTAGGTCAAAAACCACAACATCAACTATGTAACTACTTGAAAAAAGGGGAAGTAAAAATCCCAAATAGACATTAGAAGATTAACAAAGTATGAGCGAATCTTCTCAGGTAGTACGAATGGGATTTTATTAAGTTATCAACCACATGTCCTACAATATGTCCTAGTAAGATGGAGAAAAAGGAAAAAGATGAAAGACATGGGGAGAGAGAAGGAAGGTACGAGAGTGCGGTAAAAAGGGGACAAAAAAATAAATAAGGTATAGCCAGTAATTTGCTTTTTATGCCTTGTGTATCCTGTATTCATCCTGTATAACAAGGTATTTCATCAAACCTAAGGAATGGTAATACATCTTGCTGTCCCTTTCTTACTTTCCTATGTTTTGTGATTTATTCTTGTCTATACCCTTCATTCCAGGATTCCACTGTATCATAACTAATACACAGAAATAGCTGATCACAAGGTATAAGCATCTGAAAAAAGACTGGACTTTTACAGTAAAGAGGCTATAAATAAAATGAAAATGATAAATAAGTAACAAAGGTTGTTGAAAGCCTAGGTAAGCAGGGCCACTAGCATAGCTGACCCACGAAAAGCCAACTATTTGAATATTTGTGTATACCAAGCATGTCAAACTTGCGGCCCACAATGGATATATTTGCGGCCCACCTGCCCTGGGGCCACTCTGTGTTGTGGCTACGACCAGCTGCAAGACAGGAAAGACACGGCCGATCGCATGCTCCCGCAGGCCAGCCACTACCCTTCCCTCCTGCTCGCAGTGCCAGAGGAGTGTCTGGTCTGCTTGAGCAGAGAAGAGCAGGGATGGAACTGGAAGGCGGGCGGCTCATCTTAAGGTAGGGGAAGAGGGGCTTGGAGGACCTTCCTATGTAGTGTGCTAAATTGGGGAGGGGGGCAGTGTATTAATTTTTGGGAGGGAGCCCTGTATTAATTTGGGGGAGGGAGGAGTGTAATGTATTAAATTGGGAAGAGGGGGCAGTGTAATGGTTTGGTGGAGGGAGGCGGTGTATTAAATTGGGGGAGGGAGTTGGGCAGTGCATTAGAGTGTTGGGGGCACTGTGTTAAATTGGGGGGAGAGCTATGTATTAAATTGGGGGAGGGAGTTGGGCAGTGCATTAGAGTGTTGGGGGCACTGTGTTAAATTGGGGGGAGAGCTATGTATTAATTTGGGGGAGGGAGGTGGGCAGTGTATTAGTATGGTGGGTGCAGTGTGTTAAATTGAGGTGTATTCATTTGTGGGAGGGAGGGAGTCAGCGTGTTAGAGTTGTGGGAGGGGGGCAGTGTATTAAATTAGATGGCTGGGAGGAGGGGCAATGTATTAAATTAGAGTAGAGGGAGGAGGGGCAGTGTATTAGATTAACGGCAGTGTATTAGAGTGGAGGAAGGGGGGGCAATGTATTGGATTTGTGGCCAGTGTATTAGAACGGGGGAAGTGGGCAGTGCATTAGATTGGGTCTGAATAGAGGTGCTGAACGCTCCCCATGGAGATGCTGATTGGCCAAGCAGCTTTTTGCCACACATGCACAATAGCCTCCCATGGGTTGACAGATCATTAGGTTTAATGATCTCAGCCAAAGTGAAGAACACACTCATAGGACTTAAAAATCAACAAGATAACGACATTTGTTTTTTACAGCTGTGCAACAGCATACATTCACCATTTTAGTCCCATTACCAAACTTTCTCAATATGTCAAGGTAGTTGGACTGAAAGATTAGTTATATGCAAATGCATTTCTTAAAATAAATTCACTCTTTTGTTTACTTTAAAGCCTTACGAGCGTGAGGACATCCCGTGTCAGCTATGAAAACTGAAGTTTTTGTTTTTTTGCGGCCCACATCAACTTAAACATTGTTTATTTATCCCCTGTTAGCCTTTGAGTTTGACATGCTTGGTGTATACAGACAAATGTGCTAATCAAACATTTCCATATCTTTGAATATGGGACAAAGTAAGCCAAAAGTGAAGCAGTCACCATGGTAACAAGAGAAACAGCTTTGGTGAAACCAATAATTTTCATAGTGATTACTTTATAGATCTCGCTTCTCACATTTTCTGACTCATGATTAGTGGTTAAAGCTGTGACAACCATATAATTTATCTGAATGCCCTATTTAAGTTCTTGTCAGGGCTTACTTGCTGTTGG